TGTGTTTTAAACCCTTCCCACACTCTTGTAATATTCTAAACAATGTTTCTAAACTCTAAACGCTCTAAAAGAGCACTGAATGTCATGATTTCAGCTCCCTGCCTCTTCTGTTCTTTGCCCCCTGCAAGCGTTCTTGGCCACACCCACTTCTCTGCTCTGCACGGCAAACAGCTGATCATACATGGAGAACAGCTGATCAGCTTCAGCAGAAAGTTTACCCTGCAGTAACGGCTGCACAAAGATGCAGGAGGAAGCGTTTTCTGCAGTTCTGGGCTGCACGAATGTGCAGCAGGTGCTAAATAATTTAAAATAATTTGTTTTAAATAAAAATTCCATGCCAATCATGTGGCTCATCCATCACTTAGTCAATTGTGTTTTATGTCCAATCTTATTTTGAAAAACCGCAATAGAGCGAGTCCATGATAAACGAACCGCAAAGCAGTGAGGGACTACTGTAAACAGACCCTTTCCAAAAAATTAGAATATCATGGAAAAGTTGTTTAACTTCCATAACTCCCAGTCAATGCCACAGGCTGATTGCCTCAATGCCACATCGCATCGAAGCAGTGATTAAGACAAAGGGATTCACAAGTAAGTATTGAAGATTGACATATCGTTTTGAAAGTACCTATTTTGATTGATTTGTTGTGATCCTGATTTCTTTCTTTTTTTTTTCTGCAAAAACTGAGAAGTGTGGGCTGATGTCTGCACAGTATTCTAATTTTTTGAAATCCTGTTTTTGTGGGTTTCATGAGCTGGAAGACCAAATTATGTAAAAATGAACAAATAAATACTTGAAATGATTTAAATTGTGGGCCCTGAATATATCATCTGTTAAAAGTTAACCTTTTGAATGGAGTTATGGAAGCCCAGATTTCCTTGATGCTTGCTGTCAGCTCTTCTTTGTTCTTGGTTCTGGTGTCCCTCATTTTCCTCTGGAGAACACCCCATAGATTCTCAGTGGGGTTTAGGTCCGGCGAGTTGGCCGGCCAGTCAAGCACTGTGACTTGGGCATCAAACCAGGTTTTGGTGCTTTTGGTGGCATGGACAGGGGCCAGGTCCTGCTGGAAAATGAAATCTGCATCTCCATACAGATCCTCAGCAGAAGGGATGATGAAGTCCTCTAAAACATTCTGGTAGACTGTTGTGGTGACCTTGGATTTAAGAAAGAAGAGTTTACCATCACCTGCACTGGACATTGCACCCCAGATCATATCTGACTGTGGATATTTCACACTGGACCTCAAGCAGTATGGGCTCTGCTTCTCACCCTTCTTCCTCTAAACCCTTGGACCTTGATTTCTGAATGAAAGGCACACTTTACTTTCATCGGAAAAGAGGACCGAGGAACCCGACAGTTGTAGCCCATATCCTGGATGTGTCTGAATGTGGTGGTTTTTGAAACTGTGACTCCCGTCTCATTCCACTATTTCTGGATCTCTGCCAGATTCTGGAATCTTCTTTGTTTGATAATCCACTGAAGCCCACAGTCATCTCTTTTGCTGGTGCATCTTCTCCTGCCACATTTTGTCCTTCCACTAGACTTTCCATTGATATGCTTGGACACAGCACTCTGTGAACAGCCAGCCTCCTTAGCTATGAACTTTTGTGTCTTACCCATCCTATGGAGGATATCAATGATGGTCTTCTGGCCACTTGTTATGTCTGCAGTCTTCCCCATATTGAACCAAACTGAAGCATTTTAATGACACCTGGGGAAACCTGTGCATGTGCTTTGAGTTTAGTAGATGATTAGTGTGTCACACTCAGTTTAAAACATTCATGCCCTGCAACATTTGGGCTGATTTCTCCACAGTATTCTAATTTTTTGAAATCTTGTTTTCGTGGGTTTCATGAGCTGGAAGCCCAAATTATGTAAAAATAAACACTTGAACAAATAACAAACAAAAACGAACAAATAAATACTTGAAATTGTTTAAATTGTAGGCCCTGAATCTATCATCTATTAAAGATGAACTTTTTGAATGCAGCTGTCTTCTTCAGGGGTTGCCACAGCGAACTAACATGCACAAAGACTTAGCAATTGTTTTTATGCTGGATGTCCTTCCTGACGCAACCACAGCCCTCTGTGTGGAGCAGGGCACCCCGGGGAGCAGCTGGCGGGTTAAGGACCTTTCTCAAGAGCTCAGAGTGGGGCAAATGAGGGTGGAGACAGGTGTGCGTGTTTCTCCTTTTCCACCCACATTTTTTGATGTCGGTACGGGGAGTCGAAATGGTGACCTTCTGTCAAAGTGTAACTGTACCTGTACAATGACAATAAAGATTGAATGGTCGGTCGGTCCATCCATCCCTACATACATACTTTTTTTTACCTCAACATATCAAGTGAGTCCAACAAAGTTAAGTCAGATCCTCTGGACAGTTTCTTTCTGTTGAAATATTTTGTCTTTAATCCAAAAGACTTCATCAGTTTGAGGAGCCACAACAAACTCAGTCTTATAAATAGCACTTTCTAGTAGTGATTGACTATTTTGATTTGATAGAAAGGTGCTCTGTAAGTACAGTCCATTTACCATACTTTTAATATTGTCAGGACCGTAGACGATGTATAATAAATTCATCCATCCACCCATCCACCCATCCATCCATCCATCCATCCATCCATCCATCCATCCATCCATCCA